CAGGAAGAGGGTGTGGAGGTTGAGGAGGGAGAGGCAGGAGGGGGAGAAGAAGTGAGAGGAGGAACAGTAGCTGGGGAGGCAGCAGGCGCTGGAGCAGCACAAGGCAGCACGCTCTGCACCAGGGTCTGCAGACGGGCACAAATGGCACCACCCTGGGCAAGCAGCTCCCGCCAGAAATCCCGTTCGTCCTGCACCCACTGCTCCATAGTGTGGTGCAGGGCCCCCAGGGGCTGGTCTCAGTACCCCTGCAGTGTTGCAGTGGATCTGCCGAGCCCGTGGGTGCGGAAGCAGGTCCTGGGTGGGGTGGTGTGCTCTGCATGCGCAGCTAGTGCGGCTGTGGAGAAAGAAGAGAAGTGTTCAGTTCTCCCTGGGGACACAGAGAGGGAAGCCCAGCACCACTACTGTGAGGTGAGGATGACTGTGACCTGCACCATCAGAGCCACTGTGCTTGCATAGAGGCCATTGTCAGACTGTCTGGCTATCCTCAGGAGTGGGAGCTGCCCCAAGACCGCACCCATGCCCCTGTGCTGTGTATAGTGTGGGTGAGGTGGGGAGATGTCCCCTGCCTCTGTGTAGAGGGGGTGTGTGAAGGGAGGGCATCCTGCTGTGTCCTGCCCTGGGGTCAGGAGCATGTCAGGTGTCTTCACACACATGTGTGGCTATCAGGAGAGTGAAGCCCAGCACCACTACTGTGAGGTGAGGATGACTGTGACCTGCACCATCAGAGCCACTGTGCTTGCATAGAGGCCATTGTCAGACTGTCTGGCTATCCTCAGGAGTGGGAGCTGCCCCAAGACCGCACCCATGCCCCTGTGCTGTGTATAGTGTGGGTGAGGTGGGGAGATGTCCCCTGCCTCTGTGTAGAGGGGGTGTGTGAAGGGAGGGCATCCTGCTGTGTCCTGCCCTGGGGTCAGGAGCATGTCAGGTGTCTTCACACACATGTGTGGCTATCAGGCCACAGCCCCTGTGTGGCACACAGCTGGAGCCACCTGCCCATGGGTGGCACAGCACGTGCTCGTATGTCCACAGGTTGCTGAGTGATCCATGGTAAGCAAGGCCCACGCGCGCGGTCCCTGCTCTCCCTCCCCACCCTCCCCGGGAAGGGGACAATAATGGCACTTACAGGGTGTGGCCTCCCCGGACGACCCTGGTGACTCCACTGCTGGGACAGCTCGGATGTCCAGCCGGCATGGCACCCTCCGTGGTGGCTCCTCCTCTGCATCCTGGTCAGGGCCCTCCAGTCCCGGATAGCTGCATGGACTGTCCCGCCCCCCATGATGCGGTCCAAGGTGTCAAAATAAGGACAGGTGTCTGCCCCGTGTTGACCTGGCGTACGCCTGCCACAGCTCTTTAAATTTCATGCGCACCTGCTCCTGAGTGCGCATGTGGCGTTTGGAGGCAGCTATGTGGCCCTAGTGCGGAGATCATGGACATTGGAGGCCTCCCCCCAAACCTCCATGAGGTCCATGATCTCCACACTAGTCCACGAGGGCACCGACCATCTCTGGCCCCTGTGATTTGCCTGTGTTGATGCTATTAAAGTTAATTTGAAATAACGGCTGTTATTTCGAATTAACTTTGAGGTGTAGATATACCCTAAGGTTATATGATTATTAAAGTTGAAGTTTAATTTTGACCATATTTGTTGGAAAGTTTTAATTTTTGCCTTTTAAAAATAGTTTATATTTTGGTTTGATCTGAGGAGCATGACATAAAGCAGATCTTCCTCAGAGGAAGTGGCTGCAAATTAAAGATTTTCCTTTAAATTTGCTTTTTTTTTTTTTTTTTTTAAAAGAGAAAGGATGAGAACACTGAAATCTGAAGCACCTTAACTGACCACATAACAGGTACAGTATTGGTAGCAGCTGTGCAAACTTCCTAAACACTTAGGGTAAGTTGATGTATACAGTAGTAATGTGAAAATCAGCTCTGCAGAAATTGGACTCAAACTACCCACTGACTTCTCAAAGACTACTGAACAGCTATCAGATGGTAATGCTTTTTGGCCCCCTGAATGAGTGACCAGGAGGTGAGAGGCTAGATTGTTCATCTTAGAAAATCTTCCCTAAGACACAAAGGGGGCTAGGCTCCTAGGTCACATTGAAAGTCAAACTCCCCTTTGTGCCTTTGAAAAATCTCCCCCTTTGGGTGTCATTTGGGCTGCTTAAAATAAATACTTTTCAAGAATAGTAAAGTTAGTAAGAATTATAAGCTCCGGAAGTTCTACTTTTCAGGCCAATTTTCCATTTAATGTGTTGAGAACTTATTCTTTACACAAACATATGATCACAAGAATACAGAGTAAAAACTACAATAGAAGAATTTTCTTTAGGTTTCAAAGTCAAGCAGCTGAAAATTAGTAAGTACCAGAATTTAGGCTGACCATGCAAACCATGATTTGTCATCCTTGTGTCACATCTTATGATAAAGGCATCAGCTGCAGGAGTCCAAGAGACCTCTGACAACTGTTAGGTAATCTAAATATAGGGGTTGCTCCCCTTATCAAAGTCTATTGAAATAAATGGAAAAGATCCCTTTGGATCAGGACCTCACTTTTTTGGTATACATCTGTACATGTGTGGGGAAAATGTGTTATTTGATTAGTCATTTAAACAGTTCCACTCTACTAAGAAGAAAGAGTCAGGACAACAACACCACACCCCACCAGTAAGGAACTCTTGCTACACATTTCACAGGAGAGCACTAAATCCCACCCAAAAAAGAGTTTAATTAACATAAAATAATTTACTTATCAGACTGAAGGTCACAAACTTTCCCATTAAGAAAGTGTATTAGCTACTGCAAACTTACTGTGACTTTGGGTTTGTTATAAAACAGTGAACATATGGTACAATAACTGAAAAAGCTACAATTGTAATAGAAGCAAAGTTTACAGCTTGTTTGTTGAGCCCTTTGTGGCGGATCTGCTTAATATAGTCAGAAGAGACTGTATCTTTACCCTACAATTGCTCCACAAGCAGAGCTCCCACTGAAGTCTATAGGGGTATGTCTACACTACAGCGCTAATTCGAACTAACTTAGTTCGAATTAGTTAATTTGAACTAAGCTAATTCGAATTAGCGCAGCTAGACTTAAAAACTAGTTCAAATTAGAGTTTTGCTAATTCGAACTAGCATGTCCACACAGAGTGGACCCTGAACAGAGGTTAAGGATGGCCGGAAGCAGTGCCGGCAGGACATCAGATGAGGACTTAGAGCGTGGAGCTGTTGTCTCAGGCTAACTGCGGGCTGAGCTTAAAGGGACCCAAACCCCACCCCGGACAGACAGTTCTCAGGGGTGCCCCACTTGCAAAGCAGTCCTAGCTTGGATTGCCCGGAGTACCCACACTGGGCACATCACAGCACTCGGCCATCAGATCGGCTGCACTTGCCGCAGGCTGCCATCTGGAGAGAGGGGGCAATTAAGTTCGAACTAGTGTAGCGCTAGTGTAGCGCCTATCAAAGTTAATTCGAACTAACATCCGTTAGTTCGAATTAAATTTGTAGTGTAGATATACCCTAAGAGAGTAAATGAGTGAGTGAATCCCCTAGTACTATGTGTGCATGTGAGTGCGCATACACCACCCCCCCCCCTCAGCCCAGGAAAAGGCCACACACACACCACTCAGCCCAGGAAAAGGCCACACACACACACACACACACACACACACACACACACACACACACACACACACTGTGATGTCAGAGATTATTAAGTGTGGGTATGTCTACACTACAAAGTTAGGGTGTGTCTAGACTACCTAGTTTTGTCGACAAAAGTGGACTTTTGTTGACAAAACTATACCAGCGTCTACACTACCGCTGAGTTCTGTCGACATAACGTCGACAGAACTCAGCAATTTTGTCGACGCTGGTATACCTCATTTTACGAGGCATAACACCTTCTGTCGACAGAACTCTGTCAACAGAAGGTGTTATTGCCTGTAACATTGCGTCCAGACTACGGAGTTCTGT